GCCGATGTGCGGGGGTAGGCTGACATTACATTTCGTAACTCTATTTAGTCAAAATGTTATGTTAAAGCAATTCAAAAATTAATGGCACACTAGCACCGCCTGATGAGTGAATTCTGAGATGAAATGTTTAGTCCATCTGAACAACTTTGCCAAAGACAAGAAGTTTTCATATGAGCAGAATCTGTATATGTATATACGCATCTTGATTATTTTAGAATGAGCGCCATCTGGTGTGAAAGTTATGTGATACACTATGTATAGTTTTGAAGACCTTGTATTCCTGAACGTCTTTGTAGATGGAAACAGTATCCTTTATGGTTAGGATCTCGTGATATAAACATCTCTAACATCGCAATATACCACTTCATGGGTACATTTTTACAAATCCTCCTTCCAAAATAAGTTTGGTAAATTCCTCTAAATTTAATTTGCACAACATCTGAAATTGCAATAGATCATTGAAATTTCGTTAACAAACGGTCATTTGAATTCGGAGTCAACGTGAGTTGTTCAATAATTTTTTTTCCAAGAATTAGGGGAAATGGCTCTAATGTTGGCCTATGGAACCAAGATTGGGCCCATCGCTGAAAATCTGTGATTTATCAATTTTACCTAGATGAACGCGTCATTGGGACGGTACTAATTGATATTTTTGGTCGCTATTGAAAATTTAGTCGATTGCTGAATTTATGTATGGGCCCAAATTAGGGGCATTTAGGCCGACATTACATCAATTGCCCCTATTTTTCCAGTTTTTTTAAAGCCAGATTTCATTTAATTTTACAGATGTCTAGTGGAAACACCCAATTACGAAGTAATTAGTAAAATTCCTCGACAGATAAAAAAGGAACAGCCTCTCAAAGTGGCCTGGGTCAAAATGACCCAAGGTACAGACAAAGGGTTAAATGATGATTTTTATGAAGCTTCCAGCTGAATTTGAAGAAGATGAGATGAGAATTCAATGAGAGTTGTGAAAATTATTACTGGTAGAATACTGAGAACAATTTCAAAGGAAATCAGTAAAGATCTTCGGCCGTTATGTGCGTCACCAGGTATCCGGGTAGCCAGATCCCATTTCACATAGTGAAACATTCCTCTGCCACTTAAGGGTAAAGGGAATTTGAATTTCCAGCAGTTCCAACGGAATATTGAGGACAGGAAGGACAGGAAATCATGAAAATTTAATAGGGAGCCTCGAGGAAATGGAAAAAAAAAACATTTCAAGGGAGTTCTGAGCAGAATTCCTACATAGGAAATACTGGAATACTGAATAGAATATTTAGTAGAGTTTCCAAGAAATTCATGTCTTGCATGGGATACATTTTGATCAAAATTTGGGGCATATGGTGCATTAAACAAAGTCTTGTCATTGTTTTTCATCAAGTTTTGCTTTATTCGTGAGTGTTTTTTGGTAACTAATTTTATGATATAGGGGAAATGTATGTAATGTCAGCCTAAGTGTCCCTAAATTGGGCCCATACATAAATTCAGCAATCGACTAAATTTTCAATAGCAACCAAAAATATCCATTACTACCGTCCCAATGACGCGTTCATCTAGATACAATTGATAAATAGCAGATTTTTAGCGATGGGCCCAATATTAGATCCATAGGCCAACATTAGAGCCATTTACCCTATCTGGATATTTACCCAAGTAACAATTCAGTAACCATTTAGCATCCACTCTGATTTATGATGGTTTTATAACGGCAATGAGCAATCCATTTAGTTTAAATATAGCATTATAAAGTGTAAAACATTCCTGCTTAGAAATTCAGCTTTTTGTTGTTTTAAAAACCTTTCATAGTCTGGCAAGAAAGTCAAAAACTGCCTTCTTTTAAAAATAAATTTAAAACAGTTATCAATCCCTCCTTAAAGCTGTTCTGTAATTCAAGCATAAACGTCATTAGCAATTGTTTATTAATGTCATGATAAAATACTTTATAAACGTGTTCTATCATTATAAAAGCAACCATAAAACAATTAGGTTTTGCATTAGAGAAAAAGCCTTTTTAAAGTGCATCATTAACTCCCCAATTACTTTGTTTACAAATTGAGCTTTAAAGATAATTCCTCATAATTAATAAATGCCAAATTAATGACAAGGAAATCTCGAAGGATAGACGAAGTAGGATGAAAAAATCAAGTCAATTTCAGATAAATTTACTTCTTTAGAAGAACCAGCACACTACCAACGACTGACCATCTGTCGGACAAGAGTAAAGTGAGCGGGGCCCTCGAACTCATAAAACATTGTCTAAAGTTGAAAAACATACCAGCCTTCTCCAGATCGTGCGATGACAATCGAAATAACAACCGATAGCAAACCACTGAATCTGTTCGTTAGCGTAGATCAGCTGGTTTCCGATCCAACGCAGCGATTTTATTCGGCGAAAGACTCTTCGAAAATTTCATTCAACCGTACATCTCTGCATCATTGGATGGTGCACTTCTGTAACCATCCGGAAGAAGGGGTTCTTTTTCAGGAACGATTGCGCTTCCAGCTGTTCGAAAAGCTAGTAACTGCTCCCAATCCATCGGGAGAAAACCGTCTGGAAGAATCCTGGATCTCACAGCGGAACTATCGAAAGATAAACAAACTTTGACGTTTAACTTTTTGCAGGCAACTTTGCCTCCATTAATGCTGCCATAAATCTGAACGGGTTAGGATCAAGCAAAATGGCTTTAGATAAATACAATTCAGCCTGCAAGTTTTCTTCATAAAAGCCATTTTAAAACCTTATGAATTTGTTAAGGAATTCTTGAAAGCAAAACAACTTTTTCACAAATGACCCATGAAAATCAACTTTTATGCCACCGCCATGTTACAATTAGTTTACTTGTTTTTTACAATCTTCGATTTTCAATCAACATTTCCTTAGATATAACTATATTTTGGTAAATTTAGCAATGAGCAAACATTTAAATGCGAAAATTATAAAAAAAAATCTCGGCCAAGCTCGATCTGAAGAATATATTTTTTTTTACAATTTTAAATAATTGGTCAAATCGACGTTTTACGAGGGTGGACTTAATTTTTTCGATGTTTTCACGTACATTTCACATAAAATTTGATATGGCACTTAAAACTAGGCCACTTAATGAGAACTATTGTAATTAATTTGGATATTCAACAAGATTTTTGTATCATCACTTTCTATTTTAATTATTTTGAAAAGATCGGATTCATAAATCCTTTTCTATCTTGATTAATGCTTTCCTAGCATGCGGCATGCGGGGAAACGGCTCGGAAAGGGTTTTTATTGTTGCTAAATAGCTTTTATTGTAGCTTTCAAATGGTTATCAAAGCGTTCGTCATACAACCTTTTGCACTAAATCAATCTTGAAGAGCTTCGAGAATACACCCTTCAGAACCTTCTCCAGGGTGGGCCAACTAGACATATTCTAGTCTTAATGAGGTTATGGTGGATGCATTAATGACAAAATAGCCTTGACCAGGGTTTTATGAATGTTGTTTTATAGTTGCTTTGCAGTATTTCATAAAACTTAAAATGTTACTTGGGTTGTATGCATTTTCACGATAGTCAAGTGACAGACGACTATTATTAAAAATCCACAAAAGATAAGATACTCGATTGGTTTTGCTATTCACCTCCGGTTCCAAATAATGGTATATCGTTCCAAGTTTTCATATCCCCCCTGACGAAGTGAATCTGAATTTCCAATCACGATGCCTATCCTATCATCGTCCTCTCATGCGCAACAACAATTGCTGGCTCGTGAACGGTAACATTTGTAATCTCGTATCGTAAAATGGAATTCATATGTTCGACGACCCACTCTACATTGGTTATCCAGTGTGCCGCCATTCAGACTCTGCAAAGTGGTTTGTCCTGTGAACCTTTGTATTGTTACATGTCTACTACGTATATTTGTCAGTTTTCCTTTTTTTTTGGAGCACGGTGGCATGCAGGAGGCACATCTGTGTGCTTGGGTGTCGTTGTCGTCGTCGTCCCGTTCCGCTCAATTTATCCGGTAATGGTGCTATCCATTTTAATTATAATGCCGTACCTTACTATACATTACTTTCTGGACGGCTGAAATGGTCCACATACACGGATAGAAAAAAGTACGTAATGTTGAGTTCCATTCAACCAGGTTGACAATTCCGTGCGCAGTTATTTTCACCCAACGTCATGTCAAACTACTCAGTATTATGTTGTACATCACTTATTCAACGTTAGTTTGGCCCACGGAAGACCTTTTGTTCTTGGCGTTTTTGAAAACAACTGTGAAAGTGAATGAGAGCCACCAACTCAATAGTAAGTTTAACAAACTCAACCGTTGGGTTGTTTTGTTTAGCCGTGTGCATATGCTACCAAGCCATACTAGGTGGTCCGAGGGCATTTAGATTATATCGTTGAACCTTCTTTTGGTGGATGTGGCCCAGTGCCAGTAGGTGCTGCTGCAATCTTAGGAACAAACAATTGTATCATGTATAATAAATAGGCAGAATACTAATATGAATTGCTTGCCAAAAATGGCAGTGGTAGCAGTAACAATGAAAATTAGGACTTTTTTTATACAGCAATTATCTATGTGATAACGAACATATTTTGTGTTTTCGGTGCCATGTTATATGCATGTTGAAGTTCTAAGTCAGATTAATGCATTGAATCTTAAAATTATCTTGCATTATTTTTTAAAACTCCCTAGACAACATCACATAATCTGTGTATGCAGTGTTTCAATAAATATACTGTATATCTTTTAGACAAAGATATAATAACATCTAACATTATCCGGTTGGGTGCAATTGTGGTGGAACTGGTAATGCCCAATAATCATCCCCAAAAAGACAATTCAATCTATCCATTCTCATTACTCCCTTATGAACGTTGACCCACGTTTACCCAATAATATCGATTTCGGAATCAGCTCTTTTTGTATGGTAACGGAATGTCCCATTGGTTACATTTTATTTGCTACCCTATTTTGTGCCACACTGAGGTGGTGGCGGTGGTCGTGCTCACATACCTTGGTCGTTGGGATCGAATTCAGCCTCCAGCTCCTGCTGGGTCGGTTCCCGTTCGGTTTCCGCACCGGCTTTTTGCTGCGATTCGCTTCCATTGACGTCTCCCTGTTTCATTGTGTTCTTTGCTCGCACCTGGTGGCCTCGGAACGCTGCTTGGATCTTGGTGGCTGCCGCTTCGACTGTGGGAGAAAAACAGAAATCAAAATGGAAATTAGTTCCTTCTTTCGGTGGTTGAATTGCTCTGTTTTGGTTGGTCGATTGGTCATTCGAATAAATGGGTGGCAATCAATTGCAATCGAAAGAGAGCGACACATTTGTTGACCCATTCTCCATGCGGTTCTACGTAGCTAAGTTAAGATTTGATAACATATTTTCATTCGGCACTAATTGAATAAATCAGTTTTTTCTTGGAACAATTCAACACTTAACATTGCGGTATTTTAAGGATTCACAAATGGTACATGGTGAGGATAAACAAAATTGTTTGGATTTATAGAATATCATTAAAATTTGCCCCTTGCCATCCAATGAGATGAAACTATGTTTTCTCCAGTTCACATCGTCGTGTTAACACCTCCCATTACACGACTGATTCCCCTATCCCAGGAAAGGATCATCGAACCAAATTCAATCAACCTTTTCTGTCATTACTGCAGAATCAGTTTCAGCCCGTATGATGCTAAGCCCGCACCTTTGGGGGATCGACAATGAAGGATGTTTATTTACGGTCCTACAAAATTACTTCAATCAGGCCGTCAAGGCTTCCACTTTGGCTACGCTGTGGATGGGTACTCTGGAACAGCAGCGAATACCGTCAATCCCCACGACATTTGATGGGGCTGTCAGACAAAGGAACAGACAGCCGATTACCGATACCATAATTATATCAACTAACTCGCTCCGCCCAAATTGCTTAGGTTTTGCCTGAATTGGTTGCGGCACGGTTTACCACAGTCAAAAAGGACGTAAACTACTTTGCTTTCTTCGGCTTGCTTGTGGTTTATCAAGGGAACGACTCCAAGGGTAAGACAAATATTTGCCCGCTTTTCATATCGAGACGGTCTTGGACGGAAAAAAGGGTGCAGCATGATGCTTTTAATGGAATTTCACCGTTCGCCAGTTTGTACCAATGAAAGTTAGCACATTTTCTATGTCCTAGCTGAAAATTTGAGCTGTACGTGGTGTGAAATACTGGTGCACCAGATGGTCACGGATGGATACGGTCACTTCGACAACAGTTCGTTTTTGGTCCAGTTGGTATTAATTTATAATCAGTGTAAAGAATTACGATAACGATATTTTGCCAGAAATGAAAAAAAAAGAGACCGAACAGTTGGAAATTGATCCAATCTGACCAACTCTATCTGAAGTGTAGCGCTGCTGGCATGAGTAGTGCACCCGTTCTGCCATTACGAAGGTGCGGCCCCCGGTTTGTTGAGCGCTGACTGCTGCTGTGGAAATATAGGATTCATTAATTATTTCGCATGTGGGACACTATGCTTCATAAGGTACCGAATGGTTGCTGGAAATTGTGGGGTGGAGATTTGTGATTTGAAGGCTTAAAGCGGACAAGTTAGTATGATGTGTTGGGAAAGGTGATTAACAGTGTGATAACAGAAGCACAGTATCCTTCTTCATTGTTGACGGTATAAACTGTACATTAATGTATTTCCAGATCTGCCACTTACTTTTGTATAGTCGGAATTAGTTATACAACAGTGGTGGCATGGAGTAAATTTTACTTATCATTGAGGGTTCTTTTATTCTAGTCACTTCGACTTTATTAAATAATATACAAAAGCTAAACATGTACTCATTGGAAGCTATTAACTAACAACTGTGCAAGCGTTCAAAGAAAACGTAGTTTTTTTTTTATGAACTGATTTATTTGTACAGGCTCAATCGAATAAACTTTATAGAGCCAAGTTATCATTTTCGTTGTACATACTTAATCCTAATCTTAAATCTAGAGTTGCAGGTCGTTGGTCGTCTCGAGGTTACAATTTCATGGATGGGGAAAGGGAGGAGTCATGAGTAATGTCATGACTGAAAATCAACAAGTGTAAACTGTATATACAAGCGTCGGTAGCGAGACCTCACTAACTGAATAAGGTGATGACAAAAAAACAAAGTTTTCAGCATAATGAAAGCAGTTTTTCGTCCTGATGCTTGCCAACGTGTCAGTTGCTGGCGTGACTGGAAATTGATGGCGATACAATCAGCTGAGGGCATAAAAAACGACACACAGACAGAATAGAAACAAAAAATTGGAAAAAGTTACAGCTTAGTAACGCAATGGACTGACAGTGGAAGTTGCCTTCTACAGCCTGGGAGGCGCAAAAAAGCATATCCATGGGGTTTCTGCCACCCATTGTTACTTCTTAGAGAATAAATGGATAGATCATCTTGCGATGGATTTTACGCCACACGATATTCTTTGATATTAGTCTTAGGATAATCGTATGAAAATTTTCCTCATTCCGGGCATAAATTACATCAAAGAAATAGAATTTTCTACATAGAGCTTGGAACTAATTTTGGGCCTAATAATTTCAACCCGCACTTTGCCTTATTTTTTCTAGCGGATTTTTTTTCACTACATAGGGGAAATGGCTCTAATGTTGGCCTATGGATCTAAGATTGGGCCCATCGCTAAAAATCTGCTATTTATCAATTTTACCTAGATGAACGCGTCATTGGGACGGTACTAATGGATATTATAAGTTGTTATTGAAATTTTAGTCGACTTCTGAATTTAAGTATGGGCCCAAATTAGGGGCATTCAGGCCTACATTACATCCATTTCCCATAACCCATTTTTTCTGTTTTATTCTAAATTGATTTATCTTTCCATACTTATCGTTAGATTTGATAAAGAGTCACAAATTGTTGAACTATTGTTAACAATATAACATCTTTTCTTAATTACAAACTCGGCCTACTAATTATGATTTCATCCGAATCCATGGAGACACCATTGAATTCACTTTGGCCTACACTGAAAACTAATCTTTATCAGAGAGTGAGTCACTTTTACTAATTCGTATGGATAAATTGACATAAGCGTAGTTCACTCAGCGCGGACTGACTTACGCTTTTAGAAATTTCTCCATGTAAAAGTGACTTACTCTCTGAGTAAGATTTGTTTCAAGTGTACCGATGAAGATATAATTGGAATGGAAAAATGGTTTTGGTCGGAAGCGTTATTTTTGGAAAAACATAGACTTGTAGACTTTGTTTGGTTGCATACTAAGGACTGTTCATTAAAGAAAGTTGACACCTGTTTATCAATGGTTTAGGGTTAAAACGTAACGAAAAATTGTGAATTTTCACTCAGTGTGTAAAAATCTTGATTATTTTGGCAACAAACCTGAAAAAATAAAAAAAGGGAGAAATTTCTAACGATGGGTCGGATCAGCTTATCCCAAGTAACAATCTAAATGCTTGGAAGATTTATTCTTATTTTATCATTGTTTTATCATAGCATCCCTTCCAGCCTGTGGTTGTATTACGGTTTTGTGTGCTTGTCATAAAGTCAGGCCGTCAAGTCGTCTATAAAACTGTTTTATGACTACTAAATTAAAACTCAGACTTCATAGTTTTAACGGTAGCTGTAAGGTGGTTCTGCATCACTACTTATAACTGAAGAATAAAACCAAAACAAAACATACAATTATGTTTTATGGTACACTTTTTATGACCGATATAAAACTTGAAGCAGTCTTAGACCTTCATTAAAGCTTCATTACAACCATCATCTTTATCAGAGGCCTAAGATTCACAGATAAGAAATATACTGCTACAACAAAAAATACTCTGAAATTTTTTGTCATTATAAAAAACAAATCTATTCAGATATATTAAATGAAAACCCCTTCAGTGCTTCTGAACACGATGAAGATGAGACGATCGACAATATGAAAATCCTGGAGGAACTACAGTTATACGATCCCTACATAAGGCACAGTGCGGTGAAGGAGCTCTTAAAAATATTGAACAAGCGGCTTTCCGATACATTTCCGAAAGATCCACGAACCCTTCTTAAAGCAACGCCGACAGTTTCACTAAATCCGTTTGGAGATGGCCAGTATTGACATCACGGCTTTAAACCTTGTATTGAAAAAGCTTTTAGTTGATCCAATAAGCATTTCTTACATCTTGATTACAAGCGAAAATAGGAGGATCGCTTGGAATGTTGACTTTTTGACAGGTGGTCATGGTTTTTGTTTTGTTTTGATTCGTTGTACCGAATAAAACCAGCAAGCTAGTTATATAGCTTAAATATAACTTAACGCTCTCAATTTGGACTACGAAATGCTAAGATACAACCATTAGGTTTATGTTATGCTATAGAATTCCAATCTAGGAGAATATGTTATATTGAGGTATTTTTAAGGAGTAGCAAGTTATAATGAAAAAAAATGTCGCCGTATGAACAAATTTCACACAGTATGAATAATTACGCTTTAATTGATAGGCAATAAAACACTTTGATGTATAATTAAATAATATGTGACTGGTTATTGCTCAACAGTAGTAACAGTTTTGTACTAAATAGATAATCTTTGAATGACTCTTTAATGCATGGTGCTAATGCAGACAAATTAAAAATATCCCTATATTTTAGTATTCATATGGCGCACTAAATTTATGCTCCTATTTGGTATAATAATCACCATAAATATTGCACGGCATGCTGTGAAGCATATACAGATTAGTTTAAAATTATAATAAAGTCGTCTTATTTTCAATGTACAATAATATCAGCCATTATTACCAACTGACAAGGATCATGATTTCACATCAAACATCGAAAGAATAAAACCACAATAAAATATTTCTCAATATTAACTATCATCCAAAAACCCCAACTTAAAACCTTCAAAGTTGTCAAAATGTTTTGCGTATCATGTTTTATCAACTTCTTCAGGAGCGATTTATGCGGTTGTAATATAGTTTTATGGTAGTCATTAGAAGGCTGTTAAAAATTTCTGACCTGGAGGAGGTTTTATGTTTTCATTTTTAACAATCACGTCTAGAGTGTGATAAAACTGACATAAATCCTATGCTCCTAAAGTAGTTCGCATATCAAGTTTTAATGACTGCATTAAAACTGGGCCAATTGGCCATGACATGGCTGTGTTGCGGTTCTCAGGAGATTGTTAAAGCAATGTGGTCG